ACATAGAAAGTTTACAAAAAGTCCTGAAAAAGCTTGAATATAGCTAACTTGAATTTAAGTTTGTGCCTTGTGAACAATGCAATCATAATATTCTTTATTCATATTGCACTTTATGTTAACACTCAGTGATAAAAATAAACACGATTTTGTTGTTTAAACTTATTTATGTGTCTATTCATTGATTCAGTCATATACCAAAATCCATTTAAATTGAAAAATGTTGCTTCTCGTGTCAAATATTGATATGCGATTAATTGAGATTAATTAATAAAAAGCCTCTAATTAATTAGAGTCCCACCACTAATTTTAATACTTGCATCGAGGATGCTGTTGCATATATTCATCTATATTTAAATATTTACTAGTTTTTAATAATTGTATCTTATTTTTACTTTGTACCCAGGTCTCACTGGTAAATCTGGTAGATCTCAATGTCAATATGACTTCCTGATTAAATAAAATATATATATACACCTCTTCATACCGTGCTGTGAATGGCTCAGGCTACATCCAGGACGTGGTCCAATCAGAGCCTGTTTACTACAAGGAGGGCCCAACAACCGTTCAACAAAAGCCAGACTGCTTGCTGTCCTGGATCAGCAGAAACTCTACACATCCTCAGACTCTCCTGTTCAAAATTAGACAACCTGTTCTGTCAGAATGTCCTCTGGTGTAAACAGGAAGCTGCAGCAGGGAACTGGGGTCAGTTTTTGTCCCTCCTGTTGCTCCATAGCTCACAGCTGAACACATTCTCAGACTGTGTCATCCATATAAACAGTGTTCAACTTGAACTCCAATAACCTCTGTTTCACAACACTTTTCAGTGCCTCTCCTCCTCCTCCTCCTCCTCCTCCTCCTTTCTCTCTCAGCAGCCTCCGACCCTCCTGACCCATTTTTTTCTCTGTAAAACAAATTGAATCTTGAGCGAAAAGATGTCTTTACTGAACCACCTGGGCACAAGTCGTTTTCACTGGAAAGTTCAGACAGCTTCTTTTTACACCATTGTAGGGTCCTATTACTTTATTTGTACCTGGAGGTAGATCTGGTATGTAGTTAATTTATAACACCAAACAACTCAGAAAACAGACAAACATGATAAATTATGAAGATAAATGATAGAAGTGCTCCAGGTACTAAAAAACAGGACTCATAGATAGAGAACAGTAGGAAAACACTAGAATCAAAAACATAATAGAAATGTAGTAAAAAAATAAAAACTCCTGTTCCATGTTACTGCAACTTGTTAATCTGAATGATAGCTGCTGAAATGAAGCTATTTTATACCTCATAGTTCTACATTTTTGGACTAAAAACCTCCGTCCAGAGGTTTATCTTTCATCAGGATGGTTGTGAAGCGTCATGTTACAAAGTCATCTGCCGGAAATGTCAGCTTGCATACATGTGATTGGCCAATGCAGTGTCCAGTTGGATGATGTTACGTTGTGTTAGAGCAAAGGTTAAGCTAGCTAAGTTTGGGTTGTTTGGCAGAAATAAAACTTTTTGTTCCAGCTGCCAGTAAGAAGTCGGTGAGATCAGCTGGAAGAACCAGCGTGGCAGTTACTGTGGGTGATGTGATGTTGCTGTAAGAAGTTCAAACCAACATCAAAGTCTTTCTAAATTATGGGTTGAATAATGAATAATTAAAGACCACTGCTGTCTAAAAATGTTAGATCTATTTTTACTGGAAGTGGGAGACCCAACCAGGACACATGAATAGGATTGATGCCCTTTAAAGCTCCATGATGTAACAATAATATATTATTCATAGATATGTTTCCATTAGTGTTTAATCACCTGAAAGTGTTGTGTTTTTGTTACCTTAGAATGAGACATTTCTATCTGCAGAGGGAGTGGGTACTCTTCTATTGAGTCTGTCATATTGAACCACCACCACTCCCGCCTTCAGACTGGACCTTTAATACCTGGTGCTTACTCTTATGTGGAATGTTTAGTAGCTTGTTTTCAGAAATCTAAAAATATTTTTAACATCTTGAACTGTGCACAAAAAAATCTGTGCAAGTTGTTACTAACTTTTTAAAAGTTTTGCTACCTTATAATTTATTACAGTGCAGAGATCCGACGAGAGGTTGGATATTGTCTGTACACATAAATAAAATAAATGTAATAAAATATGTAAATTGATGTGTCAGATATTATAAAACAGGAACATTAATGTAAACATCCTTTTAACACACACACACACACACACACATTATTCAGCCTTTGAAGAGCAGGAGGTCATCACAAATACAGACATACAGGAACACACACACACACTCAGTCTATAATCTGTGTTTAATTACAGCTCAGTGACGACAGCCAATCAGCATCCAGCTGCTGCAGCACCATCTGGCCTACTACTAACTGCTAACTGCTAACATTTAATTAAAAAGAGAAGAAGATTTAAACTCCATCCATAGCTCTGACCTCTGACCTAAGGTCTGTTACTATTCAGCACTGATCTTAAACTACAAAGTGTTCTTGTATGTGTGTAATTTACAACAGAGAAGTACTGACGGAAAGTACTACAATAATTCAGCATTATATAAACTATAATATCATTCTGTACTGCATTTTGAATGCAGGACTTCCCTTGTAACAGAGTACAGTGCTGTAATGATATCTTTACTACTCAGATCATGAAGTATTACAACATGTAATGTTTTAAAGAGTTCGGTCTAGACCTGCTCTATTTGAAAAGTGTCCTGAGATAACTTCTGTTATGAATTGGCGCTATACAAATAAAATTGAATTGAATTGAATGTACTGACAAAATACTACAAAATAAAGTGAAAACACAGAAATATTCCGATGTAAAGAGAGGGAAAGCTACTGCAGGAGGTGAATCTCCTCCTCCTGATAGCTGAGTGAAAGGTGAACTCACAGACAGTAAACACATACTGATATCGATCAGTGAGGATTTCAATATCGCAATACCTCCATTAATGTAGATTTTTCATGAACATTATAGATGGAAAAGTGTATAGGGAAACAGCCACGTAGCTTACATGCTCACAGTGTGAATACCACATGTGTGGGAGACGCCATGCGCGGCTCAGGCGGCCTATGTGAACGTGGTTTAAATCCTGCTCGCTCACTGCCTCTGGCACATTCAAAAGTCAAAGCAGGGAGAATCAAATAGGGGGTGTGGCTTTGTGGCTACAGAGTGTGTGACACTGGAGGACGCCAGAGGGACAGACTGACCACTGCTCATAGACTTAACAGAGCTAACAGAGCTAATGGAGCTAACCAGCTAACCAATTATTATTATTGTTTACAGTGTATATTATTATTATTATTGATCACAGTGTATATTATTATTATTATTGTTTACAGTGTATATTATTATTATTATTGATCACAGTGTATATTATTATTATTGTTTACAGTGTATATTATTATTATTATTGATCACAGTGTATATTATTAATATTATTATTGTTTACAGTGTATATTATTATTATTATTGATCACAGTGTATATTATTAATATTGATCACAGTTTATATTATTATTATTATTGATCACAGTGTATATTATTATTATTGATCACAGTGTATATTATTATTATGTCTGTTATGAATTGGAGCTATACAAATAAAATTCAATTGAATTGAACTTTGATCAGGATTTGTCATTTAACTGCCACATAAAGCAGACCTCTAGGACCGCCTTCTTTCATTTACGTAATATTAGAAAAATTAGACACATACTATCACAGACAGATGCAGAAAAACTAATCCATGCATTTGTTACTTCAAGGCTGGATTACTGCAACTCTTTATTATCAGGTTGCCCCAATAAGTCCATTAAAACGCTCCAATTAATTCAGAACGCTGCAGCACGAGTACTGACAGGAACTAGAAAAAGAGATCACATCTCTCCTGTACTAGCTACTCTGCATTGGCTCCCTATAAAATGTAGAATTGAATTTAAAATCCTCCTCCTCACCTATAAAGCTCTTCATGGTCAGGCCCCTTCATATCTTAAAGAGCTCATAGTACCCTATTACCCCACTAGAACACTACGTTCTCTGAATGCTGGGCTACTTGTGGTTCCTATAGTCTCTAAAAGTAGAACAGGAGCCAGAGCCTTCAGTTACCAAGCTCCTCTCCTGTGGAACCAGCTTCCAGTTGTGGTTCGGGAGGCAGACACCCTCACCACATTCAAGAGTAGGCTTAAGACATTCCTCTTTGATAAAGCTTATAGTTAGGGCTGGATCAGGTGAGTCCTGAACCATCCCTTAGTTATGCTGCTATAGGCCTAGACTATCGGGGGATTTCCCATGGTGCACTGAGCTCCTCCCTTCCTCTCTCTTTCTGCACTCATTCATGTTCCATTAATGCATGTTACTAACTTCACTTCTTCCCCGGAGTTCTTGTGCTTTCTCGTCTCGCAGGTTCTTATCGATCCTGGTGGAGCCTCCTGCCATGGTCCTGCTAGATTGCCATTGCTAATACTGTTGTTGCTGTGCACCTGTCTGTCTGTCTGTCTCTCGCTCTCTCTCTCTGTCTCTGTCTCTCTCTCTCTCACCCCAAATGGTCGAGACAGACGACCACCCACCTAGAGCCGGAGGATCTGTCCTAGGTTTCTGCCTTTTAACAGGCAGTGTTTCCTTGCCCTTGTCTCCAAGTGCTTGCTCATGGTGGTACTGTTGGGTCTCTGTAATTAATGTTTTAAAGAGTTCGGTCTAGACCTGCTCTATTTGAAAAGTGTCCTGAGATAACTTCTGTTATGAATTGGCGCTATACAAATAAAATTGAATTGAATTGAATTGACTGTTAAAATAATAAAAATACAAAACATCAAAATATCAGGAAAACTCATCTCTGATCAATATTTACAGGAAATAATCAGCTAAAAAGTCATTCAAATCTTTATAATAAAGTACTCACCCATCCATGATGGAACACTGTCTGTCTGTCTGTCTGTCTGTCTGTCTGTCTGTCTGTCTGCCTGTCTGGTTTCAGTAACAGTTGAACTCTGAATGATGAAACTCACAGATAAATCAGCAGACTGAAGGAGGAGCTCTGATGGTTCCACTGGTCCAGGTCCTGTTGGTCCTGTTGGTTCTTCAGTTGATGCGTTCTGTTCGTCTGTTCCTCTGTTCACTCTGACTGTCTTTCTCTCTTTCAGTGGAGACTTTTATCCCGAGGGACTGACTCCTCCCTCTCCCCCCTCCTCCCACCCTCCCAGTGGGAGTTGCACTGTTTCCTCCCCTTCATGAGAAAGACTGTGTGTTTGTTTGTGTCCCCACAGATATATATGTGTGTGTGTGTGTGTGTGTGTGTGTGTGTGTGTGTGTGTGTCCAGCTGCTGTCAGACTCAATCAGCTGTTTCAGTTCAGCCTGAAACTGTCGACTCATCCCACAGTTAACAGCCCGAACCCGATATAACATTTTTATTTTGCATCTATAAAATCTATTTAGTTCACTTTCCGGCTGAAGATGGTGATTAAAGTAAACCCCAAACACGCAGTATAACCTTTTATTTTGAACCGTTATTTATTCAGGGAAGGTCCACGGAGCCAGGTGATCACAATGCATTCTGGGTAGATTTGTGTTCGACTTGATGCTAACACGCTCTGACGTTATGCACACGTGGGTGACGATAAGCTCACCAACAAATAAATCATAGAAATATAGAAATATATATAATAATGTAGCTGCTTTTAATCTGTTACAGATCTCCACTGGTTGATAATAATAAAGTTTATTTATAGATTGTGGTCTAAAAACTACACGCAGCATACTGATGATCTAACAGGAAGTAAACATTGCTGTGACTTCCTGTTAATACAAGAGAAATATGATCTCTTTTGCTACTCGGGCTAATAATGGACTCATTGCCTGATAATAAGGAGTTGTAGTAATCCAGCCTAGAAGTAATATTTATAGCCTGTATTACCTTTAAATGCCACTGCTGTATAAATGTATTACATCAGTCACATCTGTATATAAACGCTGTATTTCTGTTCTATTGTTATTTAATGTGTATTTTCTGATCTGTGTGGATCAATAAAGACTATCAGATGTTATAAATAATCAGCACCAGCAGGGGGCAGCAGTGACACACTGTAGTCTGCCGAATCCAAAGGCGAAGAAAGAACCGGAAACACACGGTCTCACTTCCTGTTTCCTGTTTTCCTTCCACACACGTGTTCTACCCTGAACCCCTTAAACCCTGTGGAGAGAAAACGGTGAGAACCTCCACAGAACTCTAACAGCCCGGGTCCCGGTACCGCAGTGCAGTTCGCCATGCTCGAGCAGCTGGGTCTGATCGGGACGATCCGGGACGAGGAGGAGAGTCCGGAGGAGCCCGATACCGAGTCCGAACAGGAGGTGAGTCTGTCCGGACTCACAGCCGAGAGTCTCCCCGGAGAAACTGCCATTCCGGCCGGCTGCAGTTGAACCAGAGTCCGGCTGGAAAACAGTAGATTTACCGCAGTTTGATCCAGAAGCTTCTGAACTGTTGAAAACAATGTTTACATTTATATGTCAGTTAATAATCAGTCAGAATCAATAAACATCAACAACATGGCAGCTAACAACAGAACAATTACTAATAAGGACCTTATTAATGAATAATAATAATAATAATAAAAAAGCAGAACCAAAGATAAACTCATATTAATAAAAACATATCAGACACTGGCCTCAGAATCGATCTGTTCACCGGCCAGTAGACTACAAATTATTATAAAGAATAATATATCAGATCTGCCTTCCTAATGCTGTATTTTATATATGTATGTATGTATACATACATACATACATATATAATACATGATGTACAACAGCACAATTCAGAAATAATATTAATATCACAGTATGGTGAAGCGCAGTATACATATCACAGGAAGGTAAATGTGACAAACTAATATATTCTAAAGAAGTTCTGACTGTAAAGCCCCAAAGAAATATCACATCGTCATGATTTTAATAGTTTTTCTAATGAAGATGAAAATGGTTGTTGTTCCAACCGGCTCACAGGCCACAACAAGAACACAGAACATAACATTAACAAACTGAATTTAACAGTAATAATAATAACCACAATACATAGAAATACTCAAATCAATAATGGTAGTGAGGAGTGGTGGTTTGTGTGTTGAGCACCCAGAGCTTTATCATACTACTTCATATTTGTGTCTCTGATCAACCAAACTCGCAAAGAAACTGTTTCAAAGTTGTTGCTTGTCGTCTTTTAGACGGCCCGACGGTGTCTGTCTTCAGATGTTTTACAAATCACCATCATGATGTCGTTTTTTCAGCATTATTGACATTAAATCACAGAAACATCTGATTATTTTAACACCACACTACCACAGGGAGACAGGTAAATATTGAATTAATATTTCCTTCACTTTTGGTGTTGTTTAATTTTCTGGTCTCAATGCACCTCAATCGATGTCTATCTGACATAAACCTTTAGCTATCTGACTATAGTGAGAGACTACAAACTCCCACTGAAGGAAGAAAGGTGACAGACTCACAGAAAGCAAAGAGAAGTGACAGTTTCACTCCACATGCAGATTTATTTGTATCAGCACAGGATACAAGCAAACAGAGTTGTCTCATGATGCAACTAACCAGAACAAAGAAAATCACTCTATTCCTCTTTTCCAAAGATGTCTATTGGTGACGTCCGATGTCTGATAAACAGTATAACAGTATAAACAGACAGCCTTGGTCTTTGGGATGTGCTTATGACACAATGAATATCAACTCTCCTAACTAGTATGAGAGAGAGTGAGTACATGACGATGAACATAAAACACTTTACTGTAAGCCTGTAAACTTAAACATAGAAGAACACAACATAATATAGCTTCATGTTCACAGAACCTTTTACCTGAATACATTTTCCTACTACAGTGGAAACGCAACATAAGGAGCAGAGCTTGGTGGAGGCCCCACACACACACACACACACACACACACACGCACACACAGAGGGGTTCGGGCAGGCGGGGTTCAGTAACCCTGGACAGGTCTGTAGGATGTTTTTACCATATGGTGCAGACCTAATGTTTCCCTATACACTGTTTGTATATTGAACTGTGTGTGTGTGTGTGTGTGTGTGTGTGTGTGTGTTTGTGTGTTTCAGGACGAGCCCATTGTTCTGAACAGAAAGAAGAAGTTTGGGAATCGCGGGGTGAAAGACTTCAACGCGGACTTTGAGTTTGGCGAGAGAGATGGACTGAACTGTGACGAGGACTGGGTGATGGCTGATGTCATGAAACAGCTCAAGAACAAGGTAGAACCTGCAGCAGAACCTGTTCTCTGTTGGCGACTGTGGAACCTTTTTAAAGTTTGTTTGATTCAGGGCCGTCCTTACCCAGTTCTAAACTATATCATCATATTTCACAGATTATATGCTTCAGTGTTCTTGTAGCTCACACTGGACTTATACTGAGCTTGTGTACTGTAATCTACTCCGATATCACAGCAGCGTGGCGGTAATTAACTCATTAGTTAAGCAGGTCGGAGGAAGAGAAGAAACATTGGCAGTTTGGAGATGTATGAGTAATGAGTAAAAGTGTGACCATGTTAAAGTCACTGTTAGAACTCTGATGGTGTTATTAGTAATGATATGGGTACTCCACGTGGAAGTACTTGTATTTGGTCTATTGGTGTGTAGAGGAGGGACGATAAACGATACACCAAATACACCAAAAGTGATCGCTGTGCAGTGTAATAACCCTGTTGTATACCCTAACCCCCCTTCCAGGTGAGCCATGAGATGTGTTTCCACAAAGAGTGATGAAGGAATTTCTCCAGCGTTGTTTTGGTTCTCTAATGTTCTCTGGTGATGGTCTTTCACTGTATTTTGTGTTTACAGAGAACCGCCACCACTCTGGACCAGAAAATAGAGAAAATCAGGAAGAAGAGGAAAGCTGAGGTGAGTCCACCGTACCTATCTTTTTGTTGTTTTTTGAGGATTTAGCTCTTTATTTCAGTATTAATTTCTATGTCAGTACACATCCCTGACAAATATAGTTGAACTGTACCGTTCTACTTCCTGTATTGAAGATGGAGTTTGTTTTGATTTGCAGGAGAAATCAGTTGAGAGTGACGCTGCTGAAGGATCTGCAGGGAAGAACCAGGATGATGATGATGATGATGATGATGAAGATGAAGAAGAGGATGTGAAGCCTCCTGATGAAGGGGGTGATGAAGAGGATGATGATGAAGATGAAGACGAGTTTGATTCGAGTGATGAGGAGATTTTGACTAAATCAGGTGAGGCTTTTATTTTGATATCTGACAGAAGAGGAAGAAACATTTGAATTAATTTGGTTAAATCAGATGAGGGGTAAATAGACTATGCATGCATATATATATATATATATATATATATATATACATATACATAGCACCTTTCTAGTCTTTCAACCACTCAATGCATTGTACACTACAGCCACACACACACTGATGCACATCATCGGGAGCAATTTGTGGGTTCAGTATCTTGCTCAAGGAGCGAGAGGAGCCGGGGATCGTAATGAAAACCTTCCTTCGTTGATGACCCGCTCTACCTCTGAGCTACACCTGTCCCGAACCGATCTCAATGATCGCTATCGGCGCCAATTGAGGCATTTTCGGTGGCTGTTTCTTTCCTCCACTGTGCTCTGTGTGTGTGTGTGTGTGTGTGTGTGAGAGAGCGGTAGAGATCTGACACTCTACACGCCACTGTAATGTCCCGCACTATTTAACACATTTACTTTAATGACTTTAATGTAATTTAAGTGTCCTTTGCACTGTATTATCTAAAAAATACAAGTATTGGATCGGGACTCGGTATCGGCAGATACTTAATATTAAATTAATCAGATCGGATTAGGGGTTGAAAAGCCTTGATGAGGACATCCCTAATTCAGATGTTTCAATAAGCAGATAATAATTCAGTGTACTCAGTCAGAACTTATGTATTAGATGATTACAAACAAGTTGCTTTATTTTTGTTTCCTTTCAGACACCCTCAGAGACAAAGAGCGACGGGGGAGAAAGAGGAAGATGGGAGAGGAGGTGAGGAAGAGGAGTGGATGATGGCACAGGTTCATTGTATTGGGTTACCGTGGTAACTGCTGTGTGTTTTCAGGCTCCAGAGTCATTCTATGAAGACGCATCTCAGTACGATGATCAGCTGACC